TAGTGTTTGTACAGTGTACCATCAGGTTACTTACCGTGTAGTGTTTGTACAGTGTACCATCAGGTTACTTACCGTGTAGTGTTTGTACAGTGTATCATCAGGTTACTTACCGTGTAGTGTTTGTATAGTGTTTGTACAGTGTAACATCAGGTTACTTACCGTGTAGTGTTTGTCCAGTGTATCATCAGGTTACTTATCGTGTAGTGTTTGTATAGTGTTTGTACAGCGTAACATCAGATTACTTACCGTGTAGTGTTTGTCCAGTGTATCATCAGGTTACTTACCGTGTTGTTTTTGTACAGTGTACCATCAGGATACTTACTGTGTAGTGTTTGTCCAGTGTATCATCAGGTTACTTACCGGGTAGGGTTTGTATAGGGTTTGTACAGGGTAACATCAGGTTACTTACCGTTTAGTGTTTGTACAGTGTACCATCAGTTTACTTACTGTGTAGTGTTTGTACAGTGTAACATCAGGTTACTTACGGTGTAGTGTTTGTTCAGTGCCAAGTTGAGGGCCTGGACTAAAACTTCTGTTGCCTGTAGTAGGTAGTGTCTGCTCACATCCTCCGCAGCCTGTCAACAAAATCTAACATTATGTATAATGTCAACAAACATCCAACACTCTGTATAATGTCAACAAACATCCAACACTCTGTGTAATGTTAACAAACATCTAACACTCTGTATAATGTCAACACACATCTAACACTCTGTATAATGTCAACAAACATCCTCAGTATAATGTCAAAAAACATCCAACACTCTGTATAATGTCAACAAACATCGAACACTCAGTATAATGTCAACAAACATCCAACACTCTGTATAATGTCAACAAACATCTAATACTCTGTATAATGTCAACAAACATATAACACTCTGTTTAATGTCAACAAACATCCAACACTCTGTAAAATGTCAACAAACATCCAACACTAGGTATAATGTCAACACACATCCTCAGTCTAATGTCAACAAATATCCAACACTGTATAATGTCAACAAACATCTAACACTCTGTATAATATCAACAAACATCCAACACTCTGTACAATGTCAACAAACATCCAACACTCTGTATAATGTCAACAAACATCCAACACTCTGTATAATGTCAACAAACATCTAACACTCTGTATAATGTCAACAAAAATCCAACACTCTGTAAAATGTCAACAAACATCCAACACTGTATAATGTCAACAAATATATAACACTCTGCATAATGTCAACAAACATCCACTTTTTATAATGTCAACAAACATATAACACTCTGTTTAATGTCAACACACATCCACAGTATAATGTCAACAACCATCCAACACTCAGTATAATGTCAACACACATCCACACTCTGTATAATGTCAACAAACATCCTCTGTATAATGTCAACACACATCCACACTCTGTTTAATGTCAACACACATCCACACTCTGTATAATGTCAACAAACATCCAACAATCTGTATAATGTCAACAAACATCCACACTCTGTTTAATGTCAACACACATCCACACTCAGTATAATGTCAACACACATCCACACTCTGTATAATGTCAACACACATCCAATACTTAATATAATGTTAACACACAATCATATTCAGTACTAAATTAATGTAAGGAAAATGTGATTTTTTTCACGGAGTTATAGTACAACTATAGTTCACCTTGATTACACACTAACTTTCAAACAAAGGAAAGTAGCAGTATTGTGAGGCAATCAATAACTCTAATATTTTATAACGGACAACATTAAAATTAGGGAACAATGTTTTGATGTATAACAGTCTGAAAATATTCAAGTTAACTTGTGAGAAGCAAATGTGTAACAAATGGATGTACACCTATATAGTTCCCTACACTAGTACCCGTGGAGTATTAACAAAAAGAATAGTTTTGAGTCAATAAAGCAAGTCCTGCTAAAATGAGTATGGGATATTTGTACATGTGATACCTCAGTGGCTGTAGTAGCCAATTAGATGTCATTATCATGCATTTACACAGTAATTTTATACAAATAGCATCTTGATGAATCAAAACTGTGCGTTTACACTGGTTTTACCTTTGTCTTTCATTTGTACAGAGTAGCGTACAAACAGTGTGTTTACACCGGTTTTACCTTTGTCTCTTTCATTTGTACAGAGTAGCGTACACACAGTGTGTTTACACTGGTTTTACCTTTGTCTCTTTCATTTGTACAGAGTAGCGTACAAACAGTATGTTTACACCGGTCTTACCTTTGTCTCTTTCATTTGTACAGAGTAGCGTACAAACAGTTTGGACGTCTCGTCCAGCTCAGGTTTCTCCTCCTCATCCTCTTCTCCTTCCCCAGACGAACTCTCCAGCTTAGAAAGTTCCTGCAATTTACCAATGTTTCCTAATCATTCCTGAAGTCTAGAATTACTACCAGCAATGAATTTCAAATATTTCTTTTCATTAATCAGTTTGTAAATGGTTAATTACAAAAATTCTTTTTGCAATAAAATGCAGGATGGTTGAATCAGAAGAATCAGACAGATGAGTGTTTTTAAATCCTTGAACTTTGTGATATTTTGCTTTATGTCTAGACTTACCTCCTCATACACGGACCACTGTGTGGCGGAATTTGGACATGAGAAGACAGAGAATGCCTTCAGACTCTGACCTATTCCACACAACGCCTACAATAAAAATATTTAATATTCTCAGAACCTCTCAAACCAAGTTATGGACTCTCCTGTCTTCTGCAGACATGATATATGTCTAACAAACTTACCTTCTGCAAATGATTCTGATGAACAGCCAAAGTAATAGGAGATATATGAAAGACAATAAGGTTGTTGAAGCATGTATAATGCAGGCATACAATTAAATTTCTATTCTCAAGATATTGTGATCAACTTGAGCTTCATTCAGAGTACATCTACAAAAGCCTTCGTTTTACAAACCACTCCACACCGATAGATAACTGATTACTACACGGTAACACTACCCTGTCACCCCTACCAAATCCCTCCACACCGATAGATAACTGATTACTACACGGTAACACTATCCTGTCACCCCTACCAAATCTCTCCACACCGATAGATAACTGATTACTACACGGTAACACTACCCTGTCACCCCTACCAAATCCCTCCACACCGATAGATAACTGATTACTACACGGTCATACTATCCTGTCACCCCTACCAAATCCCTCCACACCGATAGATAACTGATTACTACACGGTAATACTATCCTGTCACCCTTACCAAATCACTCCACACCGATAGATAACTGATTACTACACGGTATTACTATCCTGTCACCCCTACCAAATCACTCCACACCGATAGATGACTGATTACTACACGGTAATACTCTCCTGTCACCCTTACCAAATCACTCCACACCGCTAGATAACTGATTACTACACGGTGATACTATCCTGTCACCCCTACCAAATCACTCACACCGATAGATAACTGATTACAACACGGTAATACTATCCTGTCACCCCTTCCAAATCACTCCACACCGATAGATAACTCATTACTACACGGTAACACTATCCTGACACCCCTACCAAATCACTCCACACCAATAGATAACTGATTACTACACGGTATTACTATCCTGTCACACCTACCAAATCACTCCACACCGAAAGATAACTGATTACTACACGGTAATACTATCCTGTCACCCCTACCTTAGCTCTCAGCTTGGGGATGCCTGCAGCCATATTGTGAGCATCCACAAACTTGAGCATGGCATCTTCTATAACTGTCCTGTAAAGGCAAACAATGAAAACAAATGAATATTGGAACACGTTAATACAGGACAAAAATGTTGAGAAATCTAACGTAAATAGCAAAAGGAATATACAAAAAGGTCATAAAGACTAGCTTTAAGCAATTACAGTACAAGTCTTAAACTGACAAGGTCTCCATTTATTAACATGTAGTTATTAAGATATTATAGACAGTATATGTATTATTTTAAAATCACATGCTTATCTAGAGGATTTATCACTTTATGATTGGATGTTCTTTTTGAAGAAAAGTTGGTCTAAACTGTGTCTGCTATCATCTGTATTCTACTTAGAACTATTAACACTTGTGTAAGTGGGTCCTACTTTGTGGTGTCGACCCATTCTTTCTCCATGTGTGTGTAAGTCGGTGTCTCTCTGATGAAATCCTCCACCAACTGTCAACAGATACAACACTCAGTAAACTTGTAAGTATGTATGACAAAATTAACAGATTTAATTTGAATCTGTTAATGGACCCTCTAGTTTGAAATTTATTTTTTGATAGTTATAGATTTTTTTTTATTAAGGGATAGAAGATAACTTCATGAAATATATAATGCATGAAAGGAAGGTTTTGTTTCCAAATATCCATCTGCCACACAATTTTATTTTACCTTTCATGGGAGTAGCCCATTATTCATCAAGACAGTCAGCACCATAAACCTAACAATGTCCATCCCACAATGCAACGTGGTACAGTGCAATATCAAATTTGTATACAGTAAAGTTTCTGTAATTAATTGTACCTCTGACAATTTTCTTTCACCTCTGCCACATACATAATTAAATACACTTAAGATGCCCAGGTTACCTTGACAACCTCTGCCACATACATAATTAAATACACTTAAGATGCCCAGGTTACCTTGACAACCTCTGCCACATACATAATTAAATACACTTAAGATGCCCAGGTTACCTTGACAACCTCTGCCACATACATAATTAAATACACTTAAGATGCCCAGGTTACCTTGACAACCTCTGCCACATACATAATTAAATACACTTAAGATGCCCAGGTTACCTTGACAACCTCTGCCACATACATAATTAAATACACTTAAGATGCCCAGGTTACCTTGACAACCAAACCCTTCCGGATATCCTCAAGCTGGGTCTCTCTAGCCTCCTTGGCGTGCTCCTGGAAGATCTCCAACATCACCGTCCCACAATGCACCTTGATATCGGCCAATTCTCGCTGGATTGGCAGACTCAAGCTCCGCAACTGTACAAATTTGAAGTATATTTATAAATAAAGATAACTGAAGTAGAAAGTTTTGATGATAATTATTGCCCTTATCCAGAATTTATCAGATATATATATTCTAGACGTTTGTTTAGGAAATAGAAGTGTCCAGTTAACCACTGATAAACATGTGAGAGAAGCGTTTGGTGTGAGGATTTTATTTCAGTAAGTTGTGCCTATTAGTTCTAGTAATTTCATTGGGAAATATCAGCTAACTTGTCTGATTATGATCAGGTGTTGTTTATTACCTTTTTCCCCAATGTAGTTCAATAGAATAGTGTTGTTTGATAGGATGCACTTAATAGTGTTTCATATGATGCTGTTTGATTGTTTTGAGCTTTTTTTATTTTTCTGATGGAAATTAATGTAAAATCTAAATCTAAATTGTAGTTCAAAATTATTGTATTATTTCCTTTTTCTTTAAAATTATTGTATGATCCTTGTCTGATAGTGTTATTATATAGGGAGCGAGCATACCTCCTGTAGAGATGACAGAGTCTGGACGTCCCGGTACACCTCCTCTGCTATGGCCACAGCCTCCCGCAGTACACTCATCGACTACAAACACGGACGATAATTGTCAGTATTCTTCAGTCGTAAGACTGGGGAAATTAACCTTGTTAGGTTAGTCAGGTAATACAGGTAATATCTAATAAAATATATAGGCTAATTAAAATGGTGTAAGTTGTTTTCTTTAAATATAGAATCATTTCATTCTCTTATTGTGTAATTAGTTCATAGCAGAAACTGACTTTCTATATATAGAGAATTACATTGCCTTTCGACCTCAAAAGCAAAACTATGCATGCACTTTGGGAAAGGTTGACATCAGGGAACTTATAATAAAATTTGTAGAAATGAACCTGGTTGGACAATGTCATGTAAATAACAAAATTTGCTCCAATCTTTGTTACAGAGGGACAGAAATGAAGACCTGTTCGCCATTACCTGGAGGTAATAAGTATGCAGGACTTCTTTTTCTGAATGGATCGACTTCTTGGCCATCTTGAGTAGGATATCAGCATGGTCCTTCATGATGGGTAGGACCTCTCGTTTGTAACCTAGCTTTACCAGCTTGTCACAGGCACCCTCGTATTTCTGTACAAATAAATACAGATATTTTATCTCTCCAAAACTCAAGGAGCGTAAATTACAAGTTTTTTTCTGATAAAAAGACGTTATACTTGGGTAGAATAGGGTACCTCAGTCTATTTCACAAAAATTTAATACCAATCACTTTTGAAAAAGAAATCTTCTATCTAGGTTACTTATAAGCATTAATCGTACACTAATGTACAGGAAAATGAATTTTGAACAAGTGTAACAATAGATGTAGACACAAGAATATTTAGAATTTGATTTAAATCCAAGTTTATTGACTTTTCCAATGACTTTTTTACAAAGCTATAAAATATGATAGGAACAGGGAAGACTGGTATATTTTGTTCACACTCCAAAATGCTAGGAAACCAAATAACTATGGAAACACTGTGGTTTGTTACATTTTTTACCTCACAGATACCGAGGAGTTTTCTCATCACTTTTGGTTCATTAATATCCATATCTTCTTCCAAGATCAGCTTGCTCTGGACAAAAGCCAATCTGTCAAAACAAATAGATAAAGTCAGCAAGGTGTCAGAAAATCAGTAAGTTACAGCTCAATGATAGCACATCCAATGGAAGTTATTTATTGTCCTAGATAATCACAATTGTTACTTTCAAGTCAGTTATACCAGCAAGATTGAGGAAAACATCCAAATATTTCTAAAGAATCATGCCAATGAAAATAGTTATATTACATATGATCTTGGACTTATGCATAAAGTGACATATTTTGTATCCAATTTTAATGGATCTTAATATCTGAAGTTCCCTAAAGAGTGAAAAGGGTTTAATACATATTATGGGCATGATCAAATTGAGTCATCAGATTCACCTACCTTGCTTCCATTTTAGAGATGATGAACTGGGTCACACTGACCCTGTTGGGGCGCTCATCAGCAATTCTTAGGAACTCGTTCAGGGCATGCACCAGAATACCCCGGGCCTGTCAAAGAAGATAACAAAATTAATATTCATCATAAAATTGCTTAAAATCAGTAATAGACTGAATGTATTTCCATCAAAGTTATCATATAAAACATGTGCTGTGATTTGTCCCTGAAGATACTTACAATTCTCACAGAATTCCTGTTCTCGTAGTCCTTCAACGTAGCCTCCACCATCAGCATGGTGGTCTCGTACCAGAACATCTCATCCCCGTGGTAAATAGTCTATAACATTCAACATCAAATTGTTATCTACAGCTGGAAATGGGACACAAATTATGATGACCTTTCAAGGTGATAGGAATCATTGTAGAAAAGTAGTGTTAATACAGATAGACCGTTCAAGGTGATAGGAATCATTGTAGAAAAGTAGTGTTATACAGATAGTTATAAGTCTATTGTCTCAACATTTGTTTGTAACCAAGAATTGAAAAGTCTTCTTGCAGACTGATACCATGGATATCCATCATCAGGCCTCTATAGTAGTAACTGAAGTGTGAGTGTGGTGATCCCAGATAAAGACATCAGAATCTAACCTGTGCCTCGCGACAGAAGTTAAAGGCCTGTCCATACTGGGCTTCAGCGAGAGCCAGCTTCCCGAACAGGAATAGGGTCCGGGCCTGAAGCTGTTGGTCGTCAAATGCCTGCAGAGAAAGAAGTTTGGTCTATGTTATTGATGTTTGGTCTATGTTATTGATGTTTGGTCTATGTTATCATTTTTCAACAATTTGTCAGGTAAAATGGAGAATGGGGCCTGCAGATCAAATGCATATTCTTTTTCCACCTGTAATATACCTCATTTTCAAACTTTATAAACATGAAGAAATTTTGATATATTGTATGTTGACATTTTGGGCTTCATTTGAATCATAAACTCATCGTAGAAAGTTAAATGTTGATATATCTATTATATAGGTTAACTGTCTTACTGTTGAAAGCCAGTTTTCTATACAACCTGTATTACACTGACTTACCACTGCGGCTTTGTGTACTTCGTCCAGATACTGTCTGGCTGCTTGGTAGCCACACTGTAACAAAATGTCAATTAATTAAATCATGAGAAATTAAATTATCTTTTCAACTGTACATTTATTAATAATAAGATTACAATTAAGAAAATATCAATACTCTGTACTGACCTGTCTGATGAGGAGTTCGGCCATGTCAGCCCACACGTCGCGGAAGGTAACAGCACTCAACACTTTTCCCAGATGAGACGTCAGCGGCTGATCCTCACTCTGTAACAAGTATGGTAATGATAGCAGCTACATTGGTTACTTGATTAACAATAGATGAAGAATTGATTATTTATCAAGGAAAAACCTGTCAGAATTATTAATAAATGTGTAAACTCGAAAAAGATCACTTTAAAAGATGCATTGAGTACTGTTCATGAAAAAATGATGTTTACTAATGTAAGAAACCTGAGGTAAACATATGTTTGTAGTGTCATGTCATCTGTCTGCTTAAAGACACCTCAGTTAACTAGGAGTTGGCTTTACTACAAGTATCACAATTCAATTGTGTTTGAATGATGTTACACCTATAAACAACCAACCTTGGTGTCGATGGAGGACTGGCCGGGACGAGATGTGACCGACTTCCTTGTCTGACTTTGTGTACTCTCCGCAGCCAAATTAGCCAGCGACTCCTTCACTCTCATCTCCTCCCTCACGACCTGTATCTGTCTCTCCTTCCACTGGCCGATCTCATCGCGGGACCTAGGGTTATACAATCATCTCAATGTATCTCTCATACAGGTACAAGACAGTATAACAGAGGTTAAAAAATCTCCCAGTTTATTCACATTTTTTATGAAATTGAAAATCTAATATATAAGACAATTAACACCTAAGATATCAGTAAATTAACACAAAGCATGGCACAAAAATCCATACAACATGCTGTACTCATAGAGGAACTTAAACATGTGGTATTACATGACCTTAGCTGTAGTACTTAGTCACTAACTGATCTATACACATGTGATATTACATGACCTTAGCTGTAGTACTTAGTCCCTAACTGATCTATACACATGTGATATTACATGACCTTAGCTGTAGTACTTAGTCCCTAACTGATCTATACACATGTGATATTACATGACCTTAGCTGTAGTACTTAGTCCCTAACTGATCTATACACATGTGATATTACATGACCTTAGCTGTAGTACTTAGTCCCTAACTGATCTATACACATGTGATATTACATGACCTTAGCTGTAGTACTTAGTCCCTAACTGATCTATACACATGTGATATTACATGACCTTAGCTGTAGTACTTAGTCCCTAACTGATCTATACACATGTGATATTACATGACCTTAGCTGTAGTACTTAGTCCCTAACTGATCTATACACATGTGATATTACATGACCTTAGCTGTAGTACTTAGTCCCTAACTGATCTATACACATGTGATATTACATGACCTTAGCTGTAGTACTTAGTCCCTAACTGATCTATACACATGTGATATTACATGACCTTAGCTGTAGTACTTAGTCCCTAACTGATCTATACACATGTGATATTACATGACCTTAGCTGTAGTACTTAGTCCCTAACTGATCTATACACATGTGATATTACATGACCTTAGCTGTAGTACTTAGTCACTAACTGATCTATACACATCTAACTGCAAAAACGTAACCAAGGTCACAGGGATCAAAATAAAAGGCAAAGATCACAAAAATGCTGTGAAGCATGATAAGCTGACATAAAGGCAAAGCCTACTCAGGGCAAAATCATAAAAAGGTACAAATTTAGGGAGGCAGAAGTATAACAAGGTTTTCATCATTACTTTTTTTCTTAAATTCATGAAATCTTAACGAAATATGCTAAAATTATTTAAAAATTGATATTATCATGACTTATCAAAAAGACAATTATAGCCTCTGCTGTACTTACAGAGACTGGTCTTCTTCATCTATTGTCAGAGGTCCAGCCAACTTCTCATGGAAAAAGATTCCATTCTTCAGATTTAACTCCAGGCAAACCTCAGCAGCCCTGAAACAATAATTAAAGGAGTATTAATACATTTATAATGATATAAGTTTGTGATGATTGGTTAACACTAGATCATGTCACCCTGTTTAACACCATACAACATGGCTTGTGATGTGATTCATTATGTTATACTGTACTGAACTTTTATCTAAGAAAGTGAGAATTCTATAATCCTTGAAACTTTCATTTTCAGCCAATCATAATCCTTGAAACTTTCATTTCAGACAATGTTGTCAACAAGATGGCTGATACGGAGATAATAGGGAGTAAAAGGAAGGTCTGTAGATGATTAAGACACAACTTTGAAGAATGAGGATTTCTTATTACTGCACAATATCAAACTACCACAACCAGTTTGTCAGGTTTCATTCTCCCACAAAATGAACCAATGCTATTGATCCTTAATCAGCCATTCCAAAGAGCTGCTCGGACACAAAGTTTGGCAATTGTAGGTGACAAAGTCTTTGAGAGATACCCCAGACAAAGTGACGCGTGGAACAAGTTTTGCCTATAAAAAGCCATGGCATGTATCATTGTATTGTGGATGTTACCTGGTGTGGATAAGGACGTTGAGAGGGGTACTCTTGAGGAGGTTACGTGACAGGATATCCTCCAGGGCGAACACTGGCAGAGTGAGGTGATTGTAACCAACCTCCCTCAGCATTCTGATCAGTGTGTTCAGGTAGTGATAGGTCAGCATCTGAATCAAGCACAATTTATAGTAAAAACAAAAATTCCCACTTTAAACCAGTTCTTAACAGAACTTTTTGAATTTTGTGTTTTTAGCAGCGAAAAAGAATTTAAAAGTATATTTAAAAATTGAGCACAAAGCTTCATAGTTGTAAAGAGACATGTCTCTTTAATCAACTATAATAAAACAAACTCTATAAGTGTACATTTTTCCATGAATATCTAGACCACACTTAAACCATCAATAATATGTACGAATTCAGTAGAGCCATGTTAACTTTGACCAAGACTTGTAGTGGATTACTGCCCCAGCCACAGAGACTTATTGTAGACTTACCGGCTTGACAATGGTACTGCTGTTAATACCATTCACCTTCATCTGCTCACTGCTGAAGGCTTCCACCACCTACAACACAGAAGTAAGAGTGGGAACAAGTCTGGTATTGTTCTTCAGTTTATCAAAATTAATCAATATTCAAACATGAATTCCAACGGAGCAGCGAAAATCACGACAGAATCTTGCTTACAGATGATTTATTCAAGCATTGTGTTTAAATACAAACATGGCTGTGATACATTAAGTCATTCTTGCAAGCTGTCTCTGTGGGAGTCTATGATCATATAAAATTTCCAACCTTTCGTCTTCATTTCAACAGATTTATTGACTTGATATATGTCAATTGGATTGGACATCAGGCTAGGCCTATTTAAGTCCTTTCCAAACTTATTTACAAATATTACATATACTCTGTCATAACAATCCAATTAAACAGTGCAGGGGAGATAACTCCAATTTAATTTTACAACTTTTATTTAATCATTTTCTGTTTATGTTTTAGATATTAACAATTAAATACTGGTAAATCATGTATATTTATTGACAACCCATCCTGCATAAAATCCAAGGGATACATGCCCAAAAGTCCCTGTGTATAAAAACATTGGCAATCAACCCACTGGATATATATAGGATAAGTTACCAAAAAATAAACATTTTGTAAAATTTCAGAATATGATATGGATTCATATAGGAAATTGTAGTTATCATTATATATTATTGGATTTGGTTCTCATAAAAATTTACTTAACAAAGCATTATAGAATATTCATGTAACTATGAAATAGTTAGAACAGGTTATAGAATAGTACACTCATACATTCCATCCAGTCCAACCTTTCGTCTGTAATGTGTCTCATACTTTACCTCGTCTGTAATATGTCTCATACTTTACCTCGTCTGTAATGTGTCTCACACTTTACCTCGTCTGTAATGTGTCTCATACTTTACCTCGTCTGTAATGTGTCATACTTTACCTCGTCTGTAATGTCTCATACTTTACCTCGTCTGTAATGTGTCTCATACTTTACCTCGTCTGGAGCGTCGTAGACAGCCCATTCCTCTGTATTTCCAGGCAAGGCATCTATTGGCCCCTTACGTTTGGGTTTCTCCTTAACAGGGGCAGCTGGGGCATCCTTTTCCTTCTTCTTGTTCTTAACTGATGCAGCGTCAGACTTGGAATCGCTGCCTCCAGCAGCTGCAGCCTTGGCCATCTCTTTAATGATTGGGCCAGTCACTGGTACGGACACCTACATTACCAAGCATACAACACTAAGTAAGTTGACTATGCAGAAATGATTTTCAAATCTTTTTTTACGGAACCAATCAATACAAATGGCCCAAGGGTCTTAACAGCAGCTTTGGACTACTGTAATGAACAATCGTGAGAAAAGTGATGAGATGAAGTGGGCAGTCTAACAATATACTATATTGTTCTTATCCATGAGCTAAAGATCATTTGCTAAATAAATGTATTCTGCGTTGTATTATTTAAATTTAAACCACATGCAACAGCAGCTTCTGAAAATGACTGATCTTGAGTTAAAGTATAAAAATGCAAATAGTCAGTTTCTTTTTACCATAAAACTTTCACCATGCCACAGTTGAACACACATGTAGTCTTTAAATGTATTTATTTTTATTTTTTATTATACCTCTTATTCCACAGTTGGACTTGAGAAATGACTTCCAGTCAATGACCTAAAGATAAACATACCTGCCAAAGTCGCATGACAAAGGAGTGACACATGAGCAGGAAGTCGTGGTACTCCATGGAGGAGCGGCCGGCGATCTCGGCCAGGAGAATGTACGCTCTCAGCAGCCCGTCTATCTGTTTCACATCCTCAAGGTCCTGGAACTTCATACCGGGGTTGTTTGGCAGCACACCTGCACACACACATGTACATGTAAGTAAATCATGCCACCTTTCACCAATGCTTTCGTTGTGGTTAAGACACTGTGACTAGTTGATGCTGTTCAGGGATGCTAAAGTGTCTTCATCTAGAGACAACACAGTACCCTTAACAGAGGGAAATGATAGCTTAAAGTCTTCCAAAAATAACTAACAGTAACTACTAATTGTGTAAATACAAGCCAACAGAAATTGTCACAATAAAGTTCTATGAAAACAAGTCCTTTTAGGATTTTCTAGAACCTAGTTCTGTAATGTCCATTGTCACAATGTTCATCTGATGTTGTATAAGCTCAAACAAATGAACTTAAGTTTGAGCCAATATACATGTCACCAGTACTATTCAAATTTCCTTAGACTGAATATGCTACTAAACAATCCTATAATGGCTTGCTTGGCTATGGGTATGTACATACACAAACCTATGATGGCTTGCTTGGCTATGGGTATGTATACACACAAACCTATGATGGCTTGCATGGCTATGGATATGTATACACACAAACCTTTAATGGCTTGCTTGGCTTTGGGTATGTATACACACAAACCTATAATGGCTTGCTTGGCTATGGGTATGTATAGACACAAACCTATAATGGCTTTCTTGGCTATGGGTATGTATACACACAAACCTATGATGGCTTGCTTAGCTATGGGTATGTATACACACAAACCTTTAATGGCTTGCTTGGCTTTAAGTATGTATACACACAAACCTATAATGGCTTGCTTGGCTATGGGTATGTATACACAAAAACCTATAATGGCTTTCTTGGCTATGGGTATGTACACACACAAACCTATGATGGCGTGCTTGGCTAAGGGTCTGTATACACACAAACCTATGATGGCTTGCTTAGCTATGGGAATGTATACACACAAACCTTTAATGGCTTGCTTGGCTTTAAGTATGTATACACACAAACCTATCATGGCTTGCTTGGCTATGGGTATGTACACACACAAACCTATCATGGCTTGCTTGGCTATGGGTATGTACATACACAAACCTATGATGGCTTGCTTGGCTATGGGCATGTACACACACAAACCTATGATGGCTTGCTTGGCTGTGGGGATGTACACACACAAACCTATAATGGCTTTCTTGGCTATGGGTATGTACACACACAAACCTATGATGGCGTGCTTGGCTAAGGGTCTGTATACACACAAACCTATGATGGCTTGCTTGGCGTTGTGTATGTATACACACAAACCTATGATGGCTTGCTTAGCTATGGGGATGTATACACACAAACCTATAATTGCTTGCTTGGCTATGGGTATGTATACACCCAAACCTATGATGGCTTGCTCATACACGAACCTATAATGGCTTGCTTGGCTATGGGTATGTATACACCCAAACCTATGATGGCTTGCTCATACACGAACCTATAATGGCTTGCTTGGCTATGGGTATGTACATACACAAACCTATGATGGCTTGCTTGGCTATGGGGATGTACACACACAAACCTATGATGGCTTGCTTGGGTATGGGTATGTATACACAAAAACCTATAATGGCTTGCTTGGCTATTGGGATTTATACACACAAACCTATAATGGCTTGCTTTGCTTTGGGTATGTATACACACAAACCTATAATGGCTTGTTTGGCTCTTGGGATGTATACACACAAACCTATAATGGCTTGCTTTGCTTTGGGTATGTATACACACAAACCTATGATGGCTTGCTTGGCTGTGGGCATGTACACACACAAACCTATAATGGCTTGCTTGGCTATGTGTATGTATACACACAAACCTATAATGGCTTGTTTGGCTCTTGGGATGTATACACACAAACCTATAATGGCTTGTTTGGCTCTTGGGATGTATACACACAAACCTATAATGGCTTGCTTGGCTATGTGTATGTATACACACAAACCTATAATGGCTTGCTTGGCTATGGGTATGTATCCATCGGGATTGATGTCATCAGACACACTACTAGTGTCACTGCGACTGTCCATCGACTTTGCCATTTTCCGGGGTTCTGGACTTTTGCGAGGAGTGTCAGCTGGTGGAGCTGTTTTTGGAGGTGGTCCTGGTGTGGCCTTGCCCTTCGCTGACCCCTTGCCTTTCCCTTTCTTGTCTGCTTTCTTGGCCACTGATGCCGCTACAAGACAGGATCGATTGTAATCAGTAAACAAATTATTAATAACTATGAAATTCAATTGCTCATCATGAATAGATTACCAATGTGTCTATGACAAAGCTATATATGTAAACAACAGATCTAAAGTACAGCAGCACTTGACCTCTGACCTCTTAATTAAAATCTTAAATTATCCATGCAGTTAGTTCGGTTTCTATGTTATATATCCATGTAAAACTATAATGCACACATATATGGTTGTCTTTTTGTGATAAAATTGTTTCATATATACATTCATTTAAGATTGCATGGAATATCATCTGGACGTCTTTTAACATTTTGAAAGTTGTTATCTTAAGTGTAAACCTGTAACTTCTACAAATAAAAAAGGTTAATTGAAAAACATTGAAAATTAGTCATATTTATAAAATTTAAAGTAAGATAATACTCTTTGCGCATTTTTGTGTTTAAAAGATAATCTCAAGATAATATAATTGAACCTGTCTAATCTGACACACTGTGGGATCCAACAAATTGCTTAGATAAGACAGGGTATCAGAATACAAAGGTTTTACATGTTTCATAAGAAAGTAGATAACAGCTGTAGGTCGAATATTAAAGGGCATCAGAATACTCAAGGGTCAGATTAAACAGGTTTTACAATATTTTCATCAGAATAACTAACAGAAGATCAATCAAGACTTGAGCACACAAATTATTGTACAACATCTAAGAAAAACATCTCTATGGAAAAATATGCACACAAATAGTAAATGTAGAAACATGGATTCACAGTAAACACCGAAGTGACCATAGTAAGGTGACATGTGTTGTCAGTAGTGTCTTAGTAGTTCAGAAAGATTCAGCTTGAAATGTGTAACTTATCGCAATCTTTACATCTATATATTTCAACACTGCTAACACCGGTACTCCTATTATTGACTATGATTATAAGCAGTGATAAGTATTTCTATCATTTCATAACGCTTATGTTTATACTTTACAAATCCAAAGAAATGTTCTTCCATACTGCTAAAAATATTATGCTTACACATATTAAATATATCAATAAATGCTTAACAAACAAAAGTAAAAAGTTAATCATGTGCCCTATTAATAGCATATTGAATTTTTCATTACACTGCCATAAATGGATCAATCCACTCAGCGCTGACTTGTTTTGAACTTAGATATAGTATTACATTGCTAGAGGGTGTCGATAACCTTAGGTAAAAAGTGGGAACATGCAGAGTCCTAATTAACAATACGTATATAGTACAGTGTATGATCATTCATCACATCAAGAACCTCTAATAAAAACATATGTACCAGTGCATGCCTAGTCTGGGCATGGTCGTCACACTCTAACTACTTAGCGCAATGTCTGGGTGAAAGGATGATGTAAGGTTTCTAGCTACATCTATAACAGCACAGTACAACACCACCACAAAAACTGGGCAGGTACTTACAGGTTATAGACAGTATCACAACATGGGACTACACATGATGAAATTTTGACATTTTAAGCGCTGGGATATAGGATTCTTTTAGCTTGGTATATGACGCTGTTACATCTGACTACCTTCCATGTAAATTCTTTAACCTGACAGAATTTTTTCTGACAAATTTTCCAACTCCCACTACTATGTACATGTATTTCATTCACACTTAGAATGGATTCAAAGTAAAATTTCATAATAATTTCCCAGAAACAGGTGACTGTGCAAAACATTGACTGTTAATAATAAAAGTGGACTGAGTCTAACAGCAACGTGTATGGTCTGTTTTATCCTTTATCTTGAGAAAGGGCCTCGATAAATTTTGAAATCCTTTGCAAATTCCTGTTGTTCTTAAAAGTGATAAGAGACATTTACACTACACTTACATATCATATTTTTTCTTCTTGGTTTAAGTAACTTCACAAATATTCAGAAAAGAATACAATTGCTATAATTATACATATTACGTAAATGGGAAATGAGATAAATTTAATACCTTTGCACTTGAGAAGTACCAGTATTTGTAATCTGCAGTACTTTTGAAACGTGTATGTTATTTCATCACCAACTCTATTAAATATCCCCTATCGTAATTATTCATGATAGTATCATGATAATAACACGGTTGAGGTGGGTTCTACTACGGGAGAATACACAGTATTCCTAAACAAAAAGGAAAATAACAAACTGGATTTCAGGACATTTGGACAAGCTATTGGGATACAAGCTATACATGCAGATATATATAACAGTGGGGATAAAGAAAGGGACACTTGGAAGAAGGAAAACTTATAACAGCTTAGAATTAAAACGATTATATTATTTATCTACCACATCTCCATCACCCACTGGTGTATCTAATAATCCATGTATTAGGCTATGTGTTAATTTTATAGAAATTACAATATTTATAGATATTACAGTCATTTACACATATCAAAATTATTATCATTACATTATGTATCAAAGTTACAGTAATTACAGTAAGTATCAATGTTTAGTAATAATGGTACAGCACAATTTTAGAGTAAATATTGTATATATCAATATTATTGCAATTGCGGTATGCTTTAATATTACAAGTAAATATAGAGTATGTATCAATAGTACCAGGTATATCAATTATGGTATGCTTTGATATTATATTAAATATACAATATATATCAATATTATAGTGATTATGTTATATTTTATATAATGTCAGAGTAAAGATAATATATATCAATATTATAGCGATTATGTTATATTTTATATCATGTCAGAGTAAAGATATGGTATATATCAATATTATAGTACATGTCATTGCAATATTTATTTATTATACACTTATCAAGTTATGTATCAATAGGTATGTATCAGTATTGAAGTAATTATAATCATTTATTACATATCAATACTATAATAATTTTTTGTTATGTATCAATATTATAATAAGTTTTTGGTATGTATCAATATTATAATTTTTATTTTGGTATATATCAATATTATAATACGTTTTTGGTACATATCAATATAAGAAGGCTTACACTGTAATATATACATCTCTGAATATTATCATGATGATATGTATCAATATTATAATAAGTTTTTGGTATGTATCAATATTATAATTTTTATTTTGGAATATATCAATATTATAATAAGTTTTTGGTATATATCAATATAAGAAGGCTTACACTGTAATATATACATCTCTGATTATTACCATTATGATATGTATCAATACCAGGTAATCTAGTACAGTCTTTCTGACAATGCTATATTTGACGTCCTATTATGACAGCAATATGATTATATAAGTGACAAAAAAATGAAACAGACTGAAAACAAATCATGCACAACATTGCCGTTAAATGATACAGTTTGCACAGTGCACTTTAAGAGATGGTGGCCAGAGAATGAGAGGGCGAAGCAGAGAAGTGTGGAAGCCAAGAGGCTGGGTGTCCCTGCTACCTTTGCCTGTTAACTTTTTGTTGGAGTCAACCAGTGACAGTTTCCTGAGGGCAGCAGCTGGATCAGAACAGTGACAGCATTCACAACCCTACACTCACAACTACTCAACACCTCTCCGTGCACACAATCAGCTTTTTTATAAAAGAATATTTTAAAATTTAACAGAATTCTTTCATAAATTTATATAAGTGCAACAAATTGGTGGTCAGCTACATTAACTCCAAAACTTAGAGTCTGTTTAACGACTAACACTAATTAGTTATAATCAATCACGAACATTCAACATTACATTAGAAAGGTGCAAGTATTTAACATTTTATCTAAAAAGAAGAATTAATATTAAAATGAACATGGTGTAAGCAATAAGTGTTACATTACAAGACATGCTAACATCAAACATTTACTAGATGAGAATGGTGCCTTATATCTAAAGTACAAAGGTTAACAAGAAACATTGTACTCCTGTATATCAGTGTATACAGTAACATGAGCAATATAATCAGGTTCAGTTTTGACAGGTTGTATTTTTGTGACTCAGTTGACGTAATATTCAGAATAATTATCTATCACATAAAATATCAATCCAAGACTCTAAGTCAGTACATGTACCTGGAATGTGTTTCTTTTCCCATAAATTGCAGAGATACTTTATATGCTTCAGAACTATGAATTCATTGATAAAAATATTATCTTGAATCTAGAAACTTGTCGCATTGTTTCCATTGTAATTCACCAAAGTACAGTATATGTCTAAAGTTCCAATATAAATCTGCATCCTACACACTAACTACTACAAAAGGATGTGTTGTCTGAAAGAAGGTCACTTCAAATTTCCAAAGTATGGAATTCCCCCTGAAGCTCTTGAAGTCATTATCACAGTTGGAAACACAGTTTCAACTCCAGTCTGGTAAAACTTCAGTCAGAGAATCCAATACTATTCCTTACAATGTTATCATCCTGAACTGAGATGTCAATATTGCTCTCTACAACGAAAGTTCTCATCCCTTCTGTAAAACACTTCAACTACACAGAGTGTAAGACAAGTGAAGTGTAGTCACAGATAAATAAAACATACAACATCAACTACAGACTGCCAACGTGTGAAGCTCCTGGCAGCACTTATAAGTGGGGAAATCAAACTCTGAAGTCAGTAGTCTGGTTGTGGTAACATTTATCTCCTCTTTACAGTCAGAACCTTTGACACAAGACTCTAGACTTGAGTAATTACCTCTTTCCTTTTGTATTTCAGTGTCTGTCCTCATGTTGAGGATGATATCCACAGCCCACTCTATCTGGTCCACAGCATCCTGAAGTGGGAACTCGTTGTAGTACAGCCACTGACCAAATTCTAACAGTAGGTCTACTTTCTGCCACTCATTACTGGCGCTCTGTAACAAACAGGGGACATAACTCTGTGATAACCATTACTGTGTTACTGATAGTAGAGCCACAGACCAAACTCTAACAGTAGGTCTACTTTTTGCCACTCATTACTGGCGCTCTGTAACAAACAGGGGACATAACTCTGTGATAACCATTACTGTGTTACTGATAGTAAAGCCACAGACCAAACTCTAACAGTAGGTCCACTTTCTGCCACTCATTACTGGCGCTCTGTAACAAACAGGGGACATAACTTTTTCATACTAGTATAACTTTTTCATACTAGTAGGAAATAAATCTGTAACGGACAAGAGACCTGTAGCCTGTCTGACAGTCATGGCTCTGGGTAAGTAGTTACTTACATTGAGAGCCTCAATGGCTGCCTGTCTGACAGTCATGGCTCTGGGTAAGTAGTTACTTACATTGAGAGCCTCAATGGCTGCCTGTCTGACAGTCATGGCTCTGGGTATGTAGTTACATGTACTTACATTGAGAGCCTCAATGGCTGCCTGGTAGGATATGAGCTGCTCCAGAGTCTCCTTAGAGCTGAGAGCCACTCTCCTCCACATGTGGGCCACATAGTCCTCGCTCTCATCCTGTAAATTAACATAGAGGGATCGGTATAGGATTGCGTCACTACTATAGCAATATGTAATCATAATGTACCTTAAGCTTTCACAAAATGATTTTAAGATGTTGCCCATGAGGAAAATGACAGTTAAAAAAACATCTTTAAAAATAAATTTGCGAAAATCTGTTCTGAAAAGTTTGATGATATTTTTTTCCCTATCAAAGTTTGTCATAACAGAATTCTGTCATCTGAAAAAGAAAACTTACAGAAAAAAGACATTTTCAAATTAAATAATACACAAAATTAGAAAAAAGTGGTAGTGTACAATTATGAGACACAACATACAGTTTACTATTCCTGTTGTCATCTGAATTAAAATAAAGAACAGCAGACATTGTATAAGACCTGTACACAATAGTTTTTGACATATAAAGATATTGTACATGAATAGTTGATGCATGCATGTATACATAGGTACAGTAGTGTGGTTCACACGGTGCTGGTCCCTAGCCAAACAGTATAACGTGTGAGGTGTGACCACAGACACTCAGCCACCACTTACAACCTTCACCAGGTGATAGGGGAGTGCAGACAGTGTGTCACTCAACACTGAGTTAGTGATTTCATGCAAATGAACAGCTACTATTAAAAATTATAACCGTACAATTCGTGAAAATATCCAACTGGCTTTCAAAGTCAAAACATGGAAAGAATAGTCTACTTTTTTCACATCAAAAATTATATAAGAACTTGAAAAGCATGTTAGCAAAAATCTGTGTTGATTAAACTTAACCTAAAACAAAGTTTTCATCCCGCCTGTCATCAATATTTGCATTTTTTAAAAACTTTTCAGGTAGTTGAAACACCAAGTATTTTACAAACAAAGAGTGTGACTGCAACTTCTCACAATTCTGACACTCGTTCCACACGTTTTAACTCTTAACCACTAACAAGTGCACAATGACGGTGACAAGCCCTATGATCACATGTGGGCCGTGTCCTCCTCGAACTGAAGCAGTGATAGACTACTGGACCAGTCAGCCAGCAACACGTTGTGTGTGACACCATTCTGACTGACGATTATACAAATAATAATAACTAAAAGCAGTGGTAGATACTGTAACACCCAAACCTTGGGAACTCGGCTGATTAACCGATCATCTAGGTCCTCCTGTCAGGTGTTAGTCAAACAAAGCGATAAAGGAATAAAGATACACAGGCTATTATGTCTTGATTTGTACAACACACTGTTGAAGTTTTTGTTTGCAAACTGAACACTGCATAATTTACAAGAAAAAATATCAAGATAAAATATTTCAATATCAAAGGGTATCCATATATACAGTATCATACTATGTAACTTTCAATTTCGTTATTAAAGTTAAGAAATAAACCCACAGCAAATTTTGTTGAATGCTATAAAAAAATACGAAAAATTAGTGATACAAAAGACAAAGAGCTGATTCCAGAAATATATAGTTGTTTAAAAATACTGCCACTCTCTGGTTAATTGAAGTCGAATAGAATTGAAAAAGTGCAAAACAAATATCAACTCACGCTGGAATTAATGAGAGAACATTTCATACATGTGTTAGAATAAAAACTTGTATGACAATAACCCCCGCTCCTACCTTAAACTTCTGGATGTCCATATTGACGCTCCGGCCCAGCTTAGCCTTTGTCATTACACGATGTTTAAAGATCAAACTGCAAAACAAAAAAACAATTTCCAAGACACGTTTTTCTAATAAATCACAAATTATTTTACCTAATTTGAATGGTTATCAGCTGCATTTTATTCCAAAAGATTTTAAAAGATTTCATTTACATAATGTAATGATACATTACAGAACTCAGTCAGTATCCTGTTTGTAGGATTAAGTTTATTTCCACGTCTGATTTATTCTCCTGTTTAAATGGAACCATATTTCAAAATCATAAAACAAGTTATACCCTATGCTATAAATGCGTTGTTGTTTCAAAACCAAATTTTTACAAATGGGTCATTTGAAAGATAATCTCAAAAGTTAAAGAGATTTATCAATGTAAAATGTAAATGTTAATTTTGCTAAGTATGTCTAAGAAAGTAAGTGTTTATATGAGACTTACAGTCTGTGTTTGGTCCTACATGTTTATATGGAGACTTACAGTCTGTGTTTGGTCCTAAGTGTTTGTATGAGACTTACAGTCTGTGTTTGGTCCTAAGTGTTTATTTGGAGACTTACAGTCTGTGTTTGGTCCTACGTGTTTATATGGAGACTTACAGTCTGTGTTTGGTCCTATGTGTTTATATAGAGACTTACAGTCTGTGTTTGGTCCTATGTGTTTATATGGAGACTTACAGTCTGTGTCTGGTCCTACGTGTTTATATGAGACTTACAATCTGTGTTTGGTCCTACGTGTTTATATGGAGACTTACAGTCTGTGTTTGGTCCTACATGTTTATATGAGACTTACAGTCTGTGTTTGGTCCTAAGTGTTTATATGGAGACCTACAGTCTGTGTTTGGTCCTAAGTGTTTATTTGGAGACTTACAGTCTGTGTTTGGTCCTACGTGTTTATATGAGTCTTACAGTCTGTGTTTGGTCCTATGTGTTTATATGGAGACTTACAGTCTGTGTTTGGTCCTAAGTGTTTATATGGAGACCTACAGTCTGTGTTTGGTCCTAGGTGTTTATATGGAGGCTTACAGTTTGTGTTTGGTCCTACATGTTTATATGGAGAATTACAGTCTGTGTTTGGTCCTTCATGTTTATATGGAGACTTACATTCTGTGTTTGGTCCTAAGTGTAGAGTCTGTGTCTGGTCCTACGGGTTTATATGAGACTTACAGTCTTTGTTTGGTCCTACGTGTTTATTTGGAGACTTACAGTCTGTGTTTGGTCCTACATGTTTATATGGAGACTTAGAGTCTGTGTCTGGTCCTACATGTTTATATGGAGACTTA